TCCTCAGCTATTTTCCACCACCTACAACACAACCAGGGTCACTCTTTCAAACTCGAGTCCACGGATGTCTTAGACCGCGAAACACGCTGGTGGGAACGGGGTGTTAAAGAGGCAATATATGAAAGAATGTACAACCCCACCCTCAACAGGGAAGGGGGGCTACGGGTCGATCTTTCCGGCACTTGGGATTTGGCACTCCCAGCCCCGAGGACAGACAACACTTAAGCTCCTGTCCTGTATAACAGGAGCTTTCAGACTAATTTGCATCATCTTGTCTTGACTTGTCTGACTTTTGTTCCTTTTTCGACTTCCAAAAATTTGTCTTCACTTTATTTGCATATCAATCAACAGGTTGTGTATATAAACCTGCTTTCCCCTCTGGTCTCTCAGTCACTGACGAAAGCTTAGCCTAGTGGATACTAGCTGAAACGTCTGACGTTTTCAAAATCATATCCAGTTGCTTGAGTAACTGTTTTTTGGCAAATCTGTATTGTTCTCTCATTAGTCCAATTGTTCATCATTATGTTTACTGTCAAGGAAAACATATTGTTTTACTCAGTTTCTTCCTCCTCCTCTTCTGTTCCAAACACTAACCTCTGACCTGGCCAATGACATGAATTGTTGACGTCACCATGGTGACTGGTGTTGGGTTACATAATGTTGCAATTTCATGGTCTGCTCTGCTCCTGTCACCATATACTCGTAGTACATTGTACATGTATGTGAATGTGTTTGAGTAAGAATTAACAGGGCAGACCATGTCCGAAGGTAAACATTTTGCATTTACTTTGCAAATGTTACTTCTCTAGTTTTTATGTATAATATAGAATTAATGCTATACAATGTACCTAGACACTTGAATATGTATAACTTTCACAAAATTAACCATCAGAATTTTTCATACATGGTCCAGAAATTTTTTTAAGATTGCTGTACAAAGCAATTGATTACAACATCCGTTAAAAGATCTCAATTTTTTCTTCTCTAGATCATTCTGTTCCTGGAGGAAAATGCCTTAGTCATTGAGGGGATCCTGAGAGTCCCTGGGTCGGCAGCTAGAATAAAAGTAAGTCTTCATCACAGCTGTTTCACAGCTGCACAGTCATACACACGGCACAAAATCCCTCGTTTCCGTGTGAGAAATTGCCGCACACTTTCCCGGATATTTTAGGTTTCCGGTAGAACCCGGGGGTTTCCGACCTGCACACGAAACGTGTCCAGTCCCGTACATGTCCTGTACACTCCCGGAAATGAACCACTTTTTGTGTGCAGGTCGTGTACTGGACGTTATATGCCCGGACACGATCCCTGTACATCCCCGTACACGGCAGGAAATGGCCGTGCACCGCTCCGTGCGTTGCTGGAATATGCATAATTTAGCGGCAATTATCACCTAATTATTCTCCACACGGCAGCGGAAATTCGCCGTGTACGGGTCGGACATGCCGGTACTACACCCCCCCCCGGCCAAAACCCGCCCCGCTCTCGGGACCGGTTGCTCCCGTTCCCGGGACCCGTTGGTCCCATTCCCGGGGCCCTGCTGTTCCCGTTCTCGGGACCCCACTGCACCCACTACGGGGACCCCCCTTCCTGCTCCCGGGGCTTCGCTGCCCGGCTCCTGAGAAATCGCTTCCCCCGCTCCCGGGACACATTTCGATGTTTTAGGAACACATTTCATTCATAAAAAAAAGTAATACATGTTTATACTTCATTCATCGTTTTATTGGTATAAACAGGATCGCCATTTACAGACTGACAAAAATAACGCTCTATGTATAGTGTATACACGTTATGCACTATGCTAACACTATACAATAATGTAACCTGGTACTTTACAAAAATGTGTAGCCGAAACATAGAAACAATAGCTTTTTCCCGAACTAGCCTTCCAGGGACTAGACTTTTAAAATCGTTGGACCCGGTGTAAACTCAGAAATTACTAGTAATTAACAGATTTCTCTAACTTTAAAAAGTAAACTAACATCACATCTCATCACAGTCACCTCCAAATAGAAGTCCATTTTAGCAAAAAATGTCAAAAAGTAACTAATACTGACATATCATCAGGTTAAAAGAGGAAAATAGCCCTCAGATCATGAAAGTGAATGGCGCTTACACAAACAGTCAAAAGACTAAATTTTCAATAAACAAAGAAGGCCTCAAACAAAGTTCTTCAAAATACATGTACGTGTAGCAAAAACATAATGGCAGACCTAACATGAAGTTAAATGAGGCTTGGCAGAAAACAATATCACGTCATTACAAAAAAAGATCATTTGCTCAGAAATTAATTACATGAACACGTATTCAATTTACAATGTCGTTAAAGACAAGCTGTCGGTTTCGTAAAGTTTGCGTTGTCGCCTCTACAAAATGAGGCTTAGTTGTAGATTGAAGGCCAGGAGGTATGCCCCCCCCCTTGCTTCAGGGGACCATAGCGAAATGTTTTCATCCTGGAAGGACAAACTGCCCCATGTCTGTCTGCGGGATGGCGTGGTGTTGGTGTCGGTTGTGATCGCAGTCAGGCCGGAGCGGCGTGCTGGGCGCGGGGTGCACCCCGGGCGGGAGTGCAGCGGGGCCGGCCTGGGTCGTCGGAGCCTGCCGGGCGCTTTAACACAGCACCCTCGCCTTTAGATCTGAGCCTGGGTGTGCAGTCTGCCTGTTTGCCTCCAGCCTGGCCTGCAGGACATGGAAAAACGAAAATCTAAGTCAAAAGTCGAAGGCATTTTTGAATTTCATTTGAAGTTACGTGTACATGTACTAGACGTTTTATAAACAAGCCTGGCAAAGATGCGGACGTCTGTATGGACACATTTCGAGGAGAAGTCATTTATCATTTTTTAACGAATGTTTTTAACGTCAGACAGCAACAATTTTGTCCAGATGAAAAGGCTCCATTCATCAAGCATCAACGCCTACTTGTTTCTTTTCATCGTAATCATGGGAACAATACAAACACAACATTTCCCTCGGTAATGAAAACAATTCAAATTGTCAAGAGCCTTGTCGGCCTTCGTATGCAAAGATATACATTTGCATAGACTCACCCTCTTCTGTGTGACTGCAGTCGCTTTTCTTTTTTCTTTTCTGAGCTCTCCGACAGCCTGGCGATAAAGTTTCTTCAAATCGTCTCAAAGTATCCCAAATCCGCGCCTGAAAAAAGTACATATGTTCTGAGCAACATACAAACTATATCGATGTACTTCTAAGTAGAAATAATAAACTATGTTATTAATCAGTAAAAAAATAGTGTACACTTCTTGCCAAAATAAATATTTCTGCCGTAGGCACAACTTAGCCAAGGTTTTTAAACAACATGTTTAAGATATATGTAACGATAGTGCCGTGTATATAATGGTATCCTTGTTTTAGCTTACCCTTCCTCCTGTCGGTTTGCTGGTTCGTTGCGGTGTTGTCCTTTCAATGTAGTAGAGTCATTTCTTCCGTTGCGAAAACGAAGTAACAGAACGGAATGTTTGACGCCATTTTAGTTCAGGAACATACTAGTAATCTTTGCAAGCCGAGACAAACGTGTTTTGAAAAAGCAAACCGTCGTTGTGACAAAGCAAGATTCAAACGACCCACCAAAACAAAGCATCGCGTCTCTTATTGGCTGGTCCCGGCGAGAGCGAGGTAGGATTGGTCGTCAGTCATATAATCACGTGATCGCGTTCAATACTACAACGATCTTGTTTTTATATTATAGGTTTTAAGTTAAATCGCCTGTGCAGTCTGAACACTTGGATGATAGGATGTTTCTGATTGTGTGAATGTATTTATTTCAAGGCAGACAAATGATCTTCATAATTCTAATTCGTCATGATTACATGGCTTTATTCGTTCTAGAATTACACAACTTGTCGCTCACTAAGTGAAATAAAACCGCACTTCAACTCCAACATAACCTTACTCTTTGTAAATGTATCCAAAATCCACAATTAATGTCATGAGGGTTGACTTGTTTTGCTGGATTTCAGTATTTTACCAGGCGTGGGGACGCTGTGAGTTCTCCCTTTGTTTACACAAAGGCTATTCACATAAACGGACGCCATGTCAGACACATCGCAATACACATCGACCGAACTTCAATGTAAAGCTTGCATATTATTACCCATACATGTACCTAAAAATCATAGCAAACTGATCAGGTCATGTTAGTTCAAACCCCTTTAGTCAAGCGTTTGATTACATCATGGTAATGAACCTCACGGATAAACTATTATTTCCAAAATAAAAAAATTCAGATTTAGACCGGAGTGTAGATTTAGGTCATTTTGACCGAGTAGGTCATATAACCCCAGCGTCGGGGCGCCCTACGCTCAAATGTGCTTTGTCGTATGGACGACATCACGACAAATCAAGCCAAGGACGCATAGGTTCAAATGTTGTATTAACAATCCTTGATCATTCTATATCTAATTTGCTTAGATTAAAGTGCTGGCAACTTTGGTTCAAGTAATTATCACCTGAAACATGAATACACGCAGTACCTAATTACCCCTTATTGTTAGCCGCTCCCCAACACACGCCAAGTGTGCGGGGCGTAAATTTCCTTGCACGTGCACGGCGAGCACAATTCCGGGAGTGTAAGGAAATATCCGGGGCCGTACACGCGGAGCCCGGAAATCCATGGACGCGACCAGGACACGGCGAATTTCACGGGCGTGTGCGGGACTGGAAACTCTTGGAAACGTGGTTTTTCATACAGTGACAGTAATCATCAAACCTGTCCCTTGTATTTCTGTCTCAATTCTTTGTAATGGACGTAAATGTTGTACATGACGGGAAATATTGGTACACAAGAAATGTCGGGAGATTTTCTATTGTGTATGTACCCAATGTATTTATTGCATAATGAAGTTACTGTCTTGTACTTTAAGTCTAGAGTGTTATATGATAATCATTATTTTTGTTGGCATGGCATGGTGGCCTTGAAAAGATGTTCCACCATATCATCCACTGTCACTATGATCATCCAAGAAATAATTGATTAAATCAATAACCTTTTAAGCTTTAGTTATTAAGGCTATGGTCTCCCGTACTCTATGCAGAGCATAGGGTTTGGTGCCCATGTCCATTTCCTTAGCCCATGTCCATTTCCTTGGGCGACACACAGCAGTTGTACAGGGCACTACAGCAGGGGGCTAGTCCGCTGGCAGTGCTGTGTGTTTGACCTTCCCACACTCTTTCTCATATGTGCTGAGTGCTAAGCAGAGAAAGAAGTGTGTACCATTTTTAAAGTCTTTGGTATGACCCGGCCGGGGTTTGAACTCACAACCTCCTGGTTACAAAGCGAGCACTCTGCCAATTGAGCTATTGCACCGGTCCGTAAGGCTATGACTCAATGGCAATTTTGATATTTATGCTAAGGTCATATTTCCCGAGCGTGGCATGGCTGGTAGAAGTACATAGAACTTAATGTTAGCTTATTAATTAACTTAGCTTCCTCAATACATTTTGTACTCATTGACTTTGTCAGTTTGCAATTAGCCCTAGGGCATGAACTTGGAATAATTTTAAAGGACATCAATTTGAACTTCAGTTATAAACGTTTTTCTCTTTGTGTGTAACTAGTGTACTTTTCAATGTCTTCAGAATCTCAGGAAAGACATAGAGGAGAGGTTTAACCAGGGAGACTTCACGTGGGACAGGGTACGGCCCAACGACGTCGCCGCGCTGCTCAAACAGTTCCTACGTGAGCTGCCCAACCCCCTGCTAACGTATGAATACCTGTCTGCCTTCGCATCTGTGGAACGTGAGTCTTTAACTCTGCTCATGGTTTGGTTGTCTTGCATACTGTAGGTCATTCGTGTCATACCTGGGCTACAATAATGTCCAGCCCATGTGATAACTAGCTTTATATCATACCCGGGCCCTGATAATGCTCGATAACAGGTTCCCGACCGGGCCATTCTTTACGGTACGGCCCGGGCTCCATGGCTTCCATAGAACAATTCGAACGCGTTTTGCCCTAACCGTGTGCGCCGCTTTCGAAAATTCGAATACAGAATTTGGACGTTGGATTAGTTTAGAGACACCAAACTTAGTCTCATTTTGCATTGAAAGGTGCGTTTTCTTGGGTGGGTGTGACATAAATAAAATACAACACTGTGTATTCCGCATCGCAGTCGGGCCGATACCTCGGGCGATACGGAATACCCTGTGTTGTATTCTATATGTATCAATGGTTATCACACTGGCTTCCAAAACTTCCATACAATATTTTGAAGGCATTTCCCATGCACCACATGTGCAGCTTTTGAAAATTCAAATACTGGACTTGAATATTGGAATTGATGTTGTTACAATTTTTGGTTTAGGGACACCACATTTCTGAATTTCTGACACATTTCACATTGAAAAGTGTGTTTTCTAGGGTGGGTATAATGTAAATAAAATACAACACGGTGTATCGATCTGGTACCTCAGGTGATACAGAATACAGTGTGTAGCATTCTGTCTTTCATTTTTGCAGTGACTTACTGGGAAATACCCCTTGTCTTATGATGTATAGGTACATGTATGGGAACTTGTAAGAATTTTCTTCTATTTTGTTCAGAAAATTCAGATAAACAATAAACAACAAGAAAAGAAGGCTGTCCAGGGATCAAAATACTGGGTGCATGTGCACCCAAAATTGGAGCTGTGCACCCAATTTTTTTCTGTGGGTGCACTGGTGCACCCAAATATTTTTGTAGGTATTTTTGTACTATACAGTAATACTTGATATTCTTGGCATCTAATTTTCAGAAAATTGTCTCAAGTACAAGATTTTGAAGTTAGCTCCCATTTCAGATTAATGCTCAGAAGAGGAGCAGTAAGATCTGTAATTATTGTTTTATATGGTGCACCCGAAAATTTTTCTGTGCACCTAAATTTTTAGGTTGGGTGCACCAGTGCACCTATTCCCAAAAATGAATTTCGAGCCCTGCTGTCCCTGTTGGTTACAGATATCCCTGACAGGAGGCAACAGCTACAAGCACTCAACCTGCTCATCCTGCTGTTACCTACTGTACATAGAGACTCCCTCAAGGTACAGTACTGGTATCATTTTTAAAAACTGATAGCTTTTCAGGTCTTTTCTTTTGAACATGCCTAATTGTTCCTGCTACTTTTATACTCTTACCTACTGTGCATAGAGGTCACTTCTAAAAATTGCTAGTATTTCAGTACATCAAATGACAACCATTTCATAACATAATTTAGTACTTTTAGCCTACTAAACATTAAAGTAGAGGCTCCCTCAAGGTAGGATACTAGGACGGCTTTAGAAAAACTTACAGTATGTGTCTTCCGTACACGTAGTTCTCCCTTCTGTTTCTTTTACTATTTTAGGATAGTTAAGATTACTGTAAGTCTACAAATTTCCGCGGTATATTTAGATTCGCGGCATTCGCGGGGACCTTTGTACCGCGAATCTATTTCCCCGCGAATATGTTTTGCGTAAGTGCGCCCCCCTCCCCACATGCATTCACGACGGTAAGCGAAACACAAACACACGCGATTCACAAATCACTGCAAATCAACTTTATTCTTAGCAAATGTTGAGTACCAAATTTTTTTAAGTTATACTGATGTCAAAAAATTATAATATTATGAGACACCGAATCGCGATACTGCGGCACTGGCCGTGTCAACCGTGTACCGCCGAAAAAAATCTATGCGTGCAGAGCGCCGGCCATGCGCGCCCGGGCGCTTGAAAATTGCGGGAACATCGGGCATATCTACAAGTATTTTTATGAAAAATATAACGGCTGGTACCTGGGAAATGTTAGTTGGTTATCTTTTGCGCCCTGCTTTGCGGGCGTTTTTTTCTTCTTCTTGCTTTGCTGGATAGAAACGCTCACCGTGGGCCTACAAAACCGAAGGCGACCTTTGCATACTTCCGGGTTCAAAATCTCGCCGAAGACGGCATAAAATTGCTTAGTAATATATATATATTCTTTCGATTATATGCATTTCTTCACTATAGAGTATCGATGTGTAGTCGTGGAAAATAGCATTTTAGCGCTTATTTCCGAACAAAGAAAATTGTTTACACGTGCATCAGATCGATCGAGCTTTACCGCCGGCAGTCTCGCGCGGTGCACGAAACAAATTTTTGCGCCGCGTTTTAGGAGATAAATGCCGGAACACGAACTTTTATTATTTTAGATATACACTTTACAAATAATTCTTTGAAAAATAGCCATGGAGAAATCGCGAATCTAAAAATACCGCGGATTGTCCATTTTCCCGAAACCGCGAACTTTAGGCCCCGCGAATCTAAAGAGACTTACAGTAATATGTTCTATGTTTCTATCTTTCAGTTGTTGCTGAAGTTCTTGTCCAAAGTGGTGTCTAAAGAGAAAGAGAACAAGATGAACATCAACAATGTGGCCATGATCATGGCGCCCAACATGTTTCTGGTCAAGTCCGGATCAAAGAACGTCAACTTCAACGAAGTCAAGATGGCGGCTGGGACGTCGGAGATTGTCAGAATGTTGATCAAGTACCACAAGATTCTATGGACAGTAGGTTCCATATTCTACATAGGCTAAATCTGAATTTTCTCCCTATCTTAACCCTTGTCCTGTGGAGCACAACAATTGTTGTTCTGCACATACAGTACCATCTATATAGCACCCTGTATAGGTACGATTTGGGGGTATTTCTCGTGCAACGCATCACACCGCAGCGAAACGCAATGAAAGTGGGAGTAACTATGCTACTGCAGGGCAAAAAAATGTGGGGGTGTATGATCTAATTAAGACATGAAATTATTGAAAAATATTGTGCAAGAAATGCCAGCAGGACAAGGGTTAAAAAGGTCTTAAAAACAATGTAAAGAATGACTTCTGCATAAACATATTGTATATATTAAGTAGCACGTAGGTAGCACGTACTGCGCCTGCACAAAAACCCTGATTTTTCACAATTTTGATTGAATGTTTGTTGTATCAGAATTTTGCCTCTTGCAGACGATATCTTTCCAAACACAACATTTGGAAACTACAGACGGGATGTTAACCTTATATACACGAATACAACCTTATATGGGATATAGGAAAGGAAAGTTTATAGCAAATACATGTACATGCCCGAGGGCTAATTGCAGTTTAGTTACAAACAACATAAGAAAGAAAATACAGTGGTATGTGAGACTATATCTACATCTAGCATTATACTACATTCTACAACATACATAGTAGTAGTTTTACTGGGTTTGACTTCTTCTCTTCAGGCAATGGAAGACGAATTTACCCACTTCTATAATATGTGGGTTTTAGTACTAAAATTGTTCTGCCGATGTGCTATGCACAATACATTACGGGTTTAGCGTAGGGGCAGTACGTTCTGCGGACATGCTTATATAAGTGGCAGTTTCCTGAAGGTATACAATGTGTGTATTGTGTTCGCAGGTGCCTTCCTTTATGGTGATGCAGGTTCGTCACTTGTACCAGGTGGAAAGTAGGAAAACAAAGGACTCCAAAGGGGTAAGACTTACTGTTTTCCCCAGTCTGTCACTGAGATGGCTACAGGTGTGTGGTAATGGCCATGGTCCATACATTGTGTCTTCAACATGCCATCAGGGTTTAGAAGCAAGATATGTTGTTTGCGGGGCACGTCTGGTTAAAACTGTGGCCACATAATTTACAGAGGCAGACAGTTGAGGATGTCCAATGGCAGTGTTTTCTTCATTCTGCAGTGCTAATTTTTGACTATTGAAGATTTCAGGTGGTTTAGAACAAAAAGGGGAATGTGACATGATTTTTTTTAGGTCTGGAACTAGTTACAGACATTCAGGGTTTTTCTTTTTTTTACTTGAACCTTAACATGTAGTTCCAGCAAACTGGTAAACAGCACTGATGCAAGTGGCAATTTTAGGGTACTGTGTAAAGCCTTGGTGACAACCTGCCGTACGTGCTTTTTGTCCGTAGGATTCCGTACGGAGGCGGTACTCACCACGCACGGATGCCCTGCATTTGCCCATGTTTTTGCACGTAGACAGCACGCAGAAGCATGTACGGCGGGTTGTGACTGAAGCTTAAGATGTGTAGATCATTATAATGTGTAATGTACATTGTGTGTGTTGTAATGTAAGATTGAACATGTCTTACCTGTTCCTGTAGCTGATGAAGATTTTGGGCAGACATCACAAAGAGAAGAAAACTACCCTTCCCCCTGCTGGCCAGGAGGTAGGAAACTTCAGCAACATGATATACATTAGTTTTATATACTGTACAATCATATTGTACAGTAGTTTCATTACCTTGGTAGGTCATAGAATAATAAGGCCTGATCTACCTTGTTTTACACTTTCTGGTCCAAAAATAGGAGTGCTTACCACTGGGCCATACATTCTACTCTCAGTTCAGCCCCTCATATTATTCTTAAGTCCAACCTGCCCAAGAAGACCACCCAGGTAAAGTGGTCGTCTTGGACAGGTGGTCTTCTTGAGCACGTCAAAATTAATGTTTGCACCTTTGGAATAGAAATTTGGGACCCCAGGAAAAGGTGATTGTTATGGCCAGTAGGTCAGCACTGTTCTAGTGACCGTCCATCTTTCCGTCATTCGACAAAATTTTGACGGTCATGATTGACAAAGGTTTTGCCCAATCTGCCATCATTGGCAGACAAAAACAGTGTGTAAAGATATGGAAAGAGATCTTTAAACTAAGCCTAAAGTCTACCTGCAAAATTTACCCCTCATAATGGAGGAAATACAATTATAATGTTGAGGGGTCAAAATTTAAAAATTATCCTGGAGGAGCATAATCTACCCCCAGATCCCCTAGGATATTGACATGATATTAGGCCACACCGACTTAATTTTATGGATGACATCATTCCTGTAGCCAGGATTTTGAATGGGGGGGTCCTTCCCACTGCTTGAGGGGACCTCGAGCACCGTAGGCGCGAGGCGAGCGCCGAAGGCGCGAGCATCCTAGGGGGGTTCGAGGGCATGCTCCCCCGGAAAATTTTGAAAAATGAACCTTCTAAAATGGCATTTCGTGCGTTTTTGAGAGGATTTCCAAGAAAAAATCAGAGATAAATTTTTATTCATTGACAAAGGGAGCAGTTTTTCTACGATTCCAGTCCATCTTTTCAAGAAAAATCTTGGACCTTTACATAAAAAGTGGACCAAAAAGTGGACCTTTACATAAAAAGTGGACCAAAGAGTGGACCTTTACATAATAAGTGGACCAAAAAGTGGACCCTTGAGCCTTGT